ACCAGATATGTTTTATACCTTCTGGCTGGATTTCTTTGGAGAACAAGATAAGGACATTGCATTCTTTAAATCTCTCTAATGCTGGTATGTATTTTTGGCATGAAATGTGGTTATATCTGCACTCTGCCTAACAAATAGATCTATAAAGGCTATGCCTTCAAGGCTGCATTTGACTCTCTCTCTCATCTCCCCTTTACCAGATGCCTGCAAAAGCTGTTCAGTCCTGATCCAAGCAAGTAAGTAAGAAAAGATTAAATATGTGACCAAAATAATAAATAACATTAATTTTAGTTTTTTTTCCAGTCTACAGTTTTTGAGAATGTGGCCCTAACATGCCTCTTAGAAGCTAGATGTAGCTCCCAACGGGAAAAAAAAAGGTTGTGCATTCTTGCTCTGAAGGAACATGAATATGGCCTTGATTGGGGGACATTCATAGAATTGTCATTAAAAAACCAAGTAATTGTGTGGACGAGTAACTTTTAGAGTTGGTATAGCCTATTACGTCCATTCCTGGATGGAAGTACAGACACGACCAAAAATGGTGGTGGTACTCCACTTTTTTCCAAAGATTTGTTCCCAGTTTGTTATGAAATAAGTTGAAACTGACACAAGTAAATGGCATCCACCATTATTTATTCCATAGTTCATAGGGCAGACACTTTGCTTTTGATGCATGACTTAACATATTTCTGTAAATAATAAAAAGAAAATGGCACGGACTTAATTATTGGTATCCCTTAGAAGTTAAAAGACATTATTGGATTTTAGTGATCTCTCAAGCAGACTATCTTCTTTAATTAGTATCACAAGTGTCTTCAGTCTCATAATCAGTTACTCAGTCTATCTGAATGGAGAAAAGTACTTTCAGGTGTTTTGTGTCATTATGTACAGTACAGTGAACATGGACAAGAAAAAAAAAAGAGTTTTCTGAGAAGGAAAGGAAGAATGTAATAGCCAAGCATGGTAAAGTAAAGGCTACAAAACCATCTCCAAAGAGTTTCGTGTTCCTGTGACCACATTTACTAATGTAAGTTTAAGATCCATATGACTGTAGCCAACTTCCCTGGATGTGGCCACAAGGAGAAAATTAACCCCAGATTGAACAGAAGGATAGTGTGAATGGTTGAGAAAGAACCAAGGAAAACTTCAAATCCTGGCTGACCTCCAAGATCAAGGTACAACAATATCAAGTCATGCCATCCATTGCTGTCTGACAGAAAGTGGCCTCCATGGTAGAAAACCACAAACAGACCCAGACTGGAGTTTGCTACAATGCATGTTGATTGACGAGCCACAGTCCTGGGAGATTTGGGCAGATGAAACAAAATTTGAGTTCTTTGGTAAGTCACAGTATTTCTATGTTCACAGTATTTAAGTATGTAAGTAACAGTATTTCTATGTTCACAGAAGAAAAAATGCTGCTTTTAAAGAAAAGAACTATGAAACATGGAGGAGGCTCCATAATGTCTGGGGTTGCTTTGCTGCCTCTGGCACCGGTTGCCTTGAATCTGTACAGGGCGCAATGAAATCTTAAGATTATCAAGGCATTCTGGAGTGATATGTATTGCTCAGTGTTAGAACACTTGGTTGTATGTCACAGGTCCTCCAGCAGGATAATGACCTAAAACATCAAAAATGGCTGAAAAGCAAACATTGAACTGCTCTGAAGTGGCCTGTTATGAGTTCTGATCTGAATCCAATAGGACTTCTATGGAAAGAGCTGAAACTCATAGTTGGGAGAAGGAACCCATCAAACCTAAGACAACTGGAGCAGTTTGCTCCAAAAGAGTAGGACAAATTGCCAGTTTAGAAGTGTAGAAGTTTTATTCAGAGCTATAGAAAGTGCTTGATAGCAGCTATTGCCTCAAAAGGGTGTGCCGTGAAATATTAGGTTAGAGTACCAATAATTATGTCCATGCCATTTTCATTTGTTTTATTACAAGAATATGTTAAGTCATACATCAAAAGCAAAGCATCTGCTCTATGGGCTATGGAATGAAAAATGGTGGTCATTTACTTGTGTCAATTCAGCTTAGTTTCACAGCAAATTGGGATTTTTGGGAAAAAGTAGAGGAGTAGCAATACTTTTGGCTGTGTCTGTAGTTTATCAGTGTGACCCATGCATTCCATATTATAATACACACTAGGTGAGATGGCTCTTAAGCTTGCCCTGGAAGCTGCAGTTAGTTAAAATGCAACAGCAAGTTCATTTAATATAATTGAAAGAACTGCAGCAATTCACAATTTGCTTCTGTGGGTATCTGGTATCAACCAAAGAGGGTCTGACAAGCCTGCTTTCAGCCACAGCTTCTTGCTAGCTCTCCATGTATAGTTGCAGACACCCATATAAAACAGATTGCCATAGGTAATAATTCTCAGGAAGGGAGGGAATGCAGATGTGTCAATGTCAGATGTTACACTGGCATCAGAGGGGAGTTCCTTCCCACTCCTATTCAACATCTACATGAAGCCGCTGGGTGAAGTCATCTATCAACATGGGATGAGATGGCTATTTCATCAGGCCTTGGGGGGTTGGAATGGTGTGATCTGTTCCCTTTAGCCAAAAGGCTGCTCCCCAATATCATCAGCATCTGGTCCAAATTCAGTGTCAGTCTGTTTGTCCACATCCACTCCAAAACTTATCATGTATTTGAGAAACCCAGTCTTCCTCCATGGCTCCGATTTTATCTAAGGATTGTCTCATATGGGCATATGCAGTAATGAAAATACAAATATTTACATCTTTCACTTTTTCTTCAAGTGGTGGACTCATGTGCAGAGACATCTAGTGTAGCCTTCTCCAACTCCCCCTCCCTCTTGGTTACTTTTATGAGATCAACTACAACTCTGTTCAAATCCAGCTACTCTGTTAAGTGAATTTATCAGTTTGGGAAAAGCAGATCTACTTTGTCAAATCCCCACTGATTGCTAAACAGTTTGCCTTTTGATATTTTGATTTAAAATTGCAGAGTAACAGGATTTCCTCATCATATTCTTGATCATAGCCTGAATTTATCAGAGCTGTAGATTGTGTGCATTGTCCATGTTAAATTCTGTTCACTTGCCAAACCATGAATTGCAACTAGGACTGAGTCCTATGATGCAAATTCTGTTTCCCAACTTGTTGCCTTTTCTTGTTAGAAGTCTCCTTTGAGTCACATTTGACTCCTTGTGACAACAGGGATGCAAGCATGCAGTTACTCTGGCAACAGGGTATAAAAGTGATTTCCTATTGCTTTCTTCCAGGACTTCTTCAGCGTTCGTCAAGTCTACATCTCTGGTGCGGCACCTGGTGATCAGCTTAGTAAGATTCTTTCTTGCAATAATTTGTCACTTTATCAAAGCTAGCAAACAACAGTCTGTGCTTGCTGTCCTGCAAAGCAAGATTACAAGCCATGACCAAAGCTTGATTTATAATCTGCTTTTCAGAGCAAAGTTAAACCATAATTAGCTGGTGCAGATGTAAGAGCCTGACTAACTATACTAACTACAGGTGAAACTCGAAAAATTAGAATATCGTGCAAATGTTCATTTATGTCAGTATG